AATTGCAACTCTCTCTCTCTCTTTCTCTCTCTTGCTCTTCTATCGATCAAACGTAATTCCCGCTATTTTTTATCTGTTCTTCTGGTACCACCACATTCTCAAGCCACATATTTGGATTGTGTGTATGGTTTTTTTTTCTTATTGTATAATAACTGTTTAGCTCCCTCGCTCCGCTACGCACGTATCGTCTGATTAGCTTATCGAACCGTCAATCGATTATTTCTGATCCTCACCATAAAGCCAAAAAACACAACAATTTTTGCAGCGTCACGATCGCGACTGAGAAAGATTTTGGCAGCAGAGGGCAGCTCGAGGGCAAACGGTAACAGCTTTCTAACCGTAACTGTAATTACAACCATATCTGCAGCTGGATGGCAAGTTATTGCCGTTCTCCTAGGCATCTTGCAAGATCCACTTAAGTCGAATGTTCGAGAATTTGAATGCTCCCAGCAGATATTTCACAAGCAGCACATCCTCTTGGTGCGCGCAGAGAGCGGACGATTACGTCACTATGCCTATCACTATCATCGTTTTCATTAGCACACCGTCATCGTGAGTTTGTATATCGTATCGGAATGCAATCGTGACTTGGCATACCCTTCCCATTGGGCTCGCATCGTAAATGTCAACTAGTTGGTGACGTGTTTGTTGTTTGGTGCTAACAAGGAAATTTTTGGTTGTCCGGTCAGGGGAGTGCCGGAACGGGGGGTATCTACAAGAGCTGACTGCTTTATCAGCAGCACGTAATTTAATTAGCTTTCGGCATGTCGTTTTCTATCATTTATGCATATTTTATTGTTGTATATCAATAAGCCATAGCTAAACCTCGACACGATACGATATGCATGTATGTATTCGCCAGACATGTGCATATATAGTATACATATGTATGTACAAAGAATGATCATTTTTTCACATATTTCTATCATAAATAGTTGTTCTAGAGTTGATTCCATTATAACGCTTCGATAAGCTTTCCACACTTTATTATTTTCTCGTTCCGATATTTGATTTGCTTACGCTTATCAGAATCGTTCCGCTCTAATTGGACTTTTGCCTAGGCCAAGCAATTGGATGATTTGTATTTTTAGCCATTTAGAAATATCGGAATATGCAAATATATATTATACAATTTGTTTACGAAACGCTCTTGAGTTGTAGTAAACTGTAATATCAATATATGTACATATTTCACAAGAGATCTTCATTTACTCTGTCGTTCCTAGTTCTATCGATAAATGGATCTAATCGATAAATGAAATATAATTGAATATCACACTTCTGATACACATTAACGCTAAACGCTTTTATCTTTACGATCTCTGTATATATCTCTATAATTTCTAAAATTAATATTTATTTATGTACAACTCCGTCGTTCATTGTTATATCGATAGACGGAGCGAATCGATAAATGAAATATAATTAGATATCACACTTCTGATACAAGCAACCGCCAATTAGGCAACACCTTTTCGGCTGGCTGCTCTCTGGCCGCCCCATCCAACTAGAATCCCCCTCGACCTGCCGCCGACCACAAACACGAATCGAATCGTCGTCGGGTCGTGGAGTCGGCGAGTCGCGGAGTCGGGGAGTCGGTTGTCGTTGCCATGGCAAGCGTATTGGATTCCAAAGCAAACCTCAGGTCAGGGCGGGGCCGACAATGATTGTTCCACTTTGATTTGCGGAGGGCAGGCACACACGTGCATAGTTAAACACCGGGAGGACACAACACAACACAATCACAATCACAATCGCAAATCATAATCAGAATCACAATCAAAACAACTCCAGCTGCTCGTTGGAGTAAAGCGAGGCGCAGTCGATGCCGCAGTGGCCGGCCAAATGCATCTATTTGAGTTTGTGCCCGCCTCGCTAGCGGACGAGCGGCCCGCTGAGGGACGCAGCATATATCGCTCGGCCTACATGGATATACGACTGCGCCAGAGGCAGCAGAGGCCCAGCAAGCTGAGCGAGCTGCTGAAGGGTAGCTCGGCCTGCTCCATTGCCAAGTCGAGTTGATTGCTAATTGACTTTTGCTACCCTTTTTGCATTTACAGGAAACTACGATTATGATCTGGTTGTTATTGGAGGCGGCTCTGGTGGCCTGTCCTGCGCCAAGGAGGCTGTAGCGCATGGCGCACGCGTCGCCTGCCTGGACTTCGTGAAGCCAACTCCCCTGGGCACCAAGTGGGGCGTCGGCGGCACCTGTGTCAACGTCGGCTGCATACCAAAGAAGCTCATGCATCAGGCAGCCCTCCTGGGCGAGGCCGTGCACGAGGCAGCCGCCTACGGCTGGAATGTCGACGACAAAATCAAGCCCGATTGGAGCAAGCTCGTCACCGCGGTGCAGAATCACATCAAGTCCGTCAACTGGGTGACTCGCGTCGATCTGCGCGACAAGTATGACACGATCGATCTCGTCATCATTTGAGTCTCTGTTAACCATCCTGGTTTCTCCTTGCAGAAAAGTCGAGTACATCAATGGACTCGGCTCCTTTGTGGACTCGCACACGATTTCTGCCAAGCTGAAGGGCGGCGAGCGTACCATTACCGCCCAGACCTTCGTGATTGCCGTCGGTGGCCGTCCCCGTTATCCGAATATACCTGGAGCGGTTGAGTACGGCATCACCAGCGATGATCTGTTCAGCCTGGACCATGAGCCTGGCAAGACCTTGGTCGTCGGCGCTGGCTGTAAGTCGACTTGAGCTTACCCCCAATCCATGCAGCCTTCCTTAATTGCCTTTCTATTTGACAACTTCCAGACATTGGCTTGGAGTGCGCCGGCTTCCTCAAGGGACTCGGCTACGAGCCCACTGTGATGGTGCGTTCGATTGTGCTGCGCGGCTTCGATCAGCAGATGGCTAATCTGGTGGCCGCCGCCATGGAGGAGCGCGGCATTCCATTCTTGCGCAAAACGGTGCCGCTGTCTGTCGAGAAGCAGTCCGACGGCCGCTTGCTGGTCAAGTACGAGAACACGGAGACCGGCGAGGTGGACAGCGACGTCTTCGACACAGTCCTGTGGGCCATTGGCCGCAAGGGACTGGTCGATGACCTGAATCTGGACAATGCTGGCGTATTGACACACAAGGACAAGATCCAGGTGGACTGCGAAGAGACAACCAATGTGCCGCACATCTATGCTGTCGGTGACATCATCTATGGCAAGCCGGAGCTAACGCCCGTCGCCGTCCTAGCCGGCCGCCTGCTCGCCCGCCGCCTCTATGCGGACTCTGAGCTGCGAATGGATTATGTTGATGTGGCCACCACTGTGTTCACTCCGCTGGAGTATGCTTGCGTCGGCCTCAGCGAGGAGGATGCCATAAAGCTATACGGTGCTGAAGAAATCGAGGTGTTCCACGGCTACTACAAGCCCACGGAGTTCTTCATACCGCAGAAGAGCGTGCGCTATTGCTATGTGAAGGCTGTGGCCCAGCGCAACGGCGAGCAGCGCGTCTATGGACTGCACTACTTGGGACCGGTGGCCGGCGAGGTCATCCAGGGCTTTGCCGCCGCCCTCAAGTCAGGCCTGACCATCCCCACGCTGATGAACACCGTGGGCATCCATCCGACCACCGCGGAGGAGTTCACACGTCTGAGCATCACCAAGCGCTCCGGTCTGGATCCCACGCCCGCCAGCTGCTGCAGCTAAACGGGGGGCCACGTTCCATAAGATTGTATTTCTCCACACACACACACACCCACACGCCTGCACACCCACACCCACACCCACACTCGCACACGCACACGCACACGTACACCCCGACATAGGAAAGCACGCCCCAACACACACTCGCTTCTGGTTAGGCTGAGGAGATGCCGTGATATGACCAACGAATTTGAGAGTTGTTACAGCTTAGCGATAAAGGTTCAAGTTTTAATTTAGATTCGATAGTAGCATGCATGCATACATGCGCACACACACAAGCACACACACACATCACTCACAACACTCACACACACACAATAGCTCAGCCGACTATCAGGAAGGCGGCCAAGAGAAGGGGCAGGACTTTCGGCTTCAGTAGAACTGAGCGCAGCATCCGCCCCCTTTCTCCTGCCGCCGTAGCGGCCCCCGTGCGGTGTGCACTCAAAATTACGAAATTATGTTATATGAAGATGATTAAATATTAATAAATAAATCTGTATTTTTACGGTACAAAAATATGAACAATAGAAGTTTTCTACCCACATACAAGACAAATTGGTTGTATTATTCAATAGAGTAGTTTATGTAACGAATATAATTATTGTAGGTATACACATACATATATTCCCGAGCAGCCTGAGATCATACTCAGCTCTAAGAATTATACATATACGTAGCTCGTAGAGACAGCATCCATTGGAAGTCTGTTGTTCCAATATTCCCAAAGTACATATGCTTCGGTATTACGCTCTATCGATATAGATCTTAGTAGATCCTTACAATTTATAGTTGTAGATCAAGCATATCTCTATAAATATTGATACTACTTAGTAAGAGCAGCTTCTCTCTTTTTGGCAACCGATTAGAGTAGTGCGAGTGCAGAAGCGAGAGGGCTATATAAATAGAAAGAGATGTAACTACAAGCTCTCTGTGCAACTACATTGATGATATACGAATATATATATGTATATCATATATACGCCCGCACACACACTCATACACACACAGACAATGTTACGTATTTTTGTCTACTTCACGTTTATTTTAGATTCCGCGTATTTTCTATATATTTCTTGTATTTTTGTTTTATTTTCCTATTTGCAAGTTGTATAAGTGCTTCATTTTTTTTTTGTTTTAAACAAATTCTTGACATTTACAAAGTGCTCGGAGCCCCCGGCATAACTGTTTATCTTCCTGCACAACGCTTTTCCATAATTTTTTTTTATTCAAATATCTGTCGCCATTTCCATTTCCGTTTCCGTTTCCGCACTTCCGCCCGCTGCTCGTATTCGACAATAAGCGAAGAGCAAAAAGTGTTTGGATACGCAGTTAGAAAAAAAAATAAAAAATATAATGGAAACAACATTAATTATTTAATATATGTGTGTTATAGGCCATCAGATCAGATCGTAGTTGGGACACGGCCGCTGCTTAGACGGCCGCGCAGCGCCTGGCCTCGTCCTGCCGCTGCTGCTTGTTGACCGCCGATATGCACTTGGCCATGGTTGGGGAGGCGCGCGAGATGGCATCGGTCATGAAATAGTCGCGCAGTTCCTTTTGCTTCACATCGATGGGCGTGCTGCTGATGGATATGCTCTGTGGACGGAAACCAGATTAGCAGAGATTCTATATGCGCTCATCTACTCGTTGGGTACTTACGGGCTTGGCGACGGACTCGCCACCGCTAGCCGGCTGCAGCTCGCCGAGGCGCGTTAGGTGTGGGGCCAAGCTTTCGAGGCGGGCACGCAGCTCGTCGAGATTGTCGTAGGCCAACGGTTTGCCAACCACCTCGGAGAGTGCGCGCAATATCTTCCAATCCTCGCGAGCCATGCCTGGCGGCGAGACGCCCGGCAGCGTCTGCTGCGGCCTGCCCTCAGTGTTCACGTAGATCGCTTGCTTCTCAGTGTACGCAGCTCCGGGCAGGACGGCGTCGGCAATGGACGCCCCGTTGTCGCCATGCGAACCAATATACACAACGAAACAGTCCTTGGGCAGCTGGTCACGAGTCACCTTGCCGGCATCGGCGTTCAGCAGGAAGAGCACCTTGGGCTGAGCCTGCAACACGGCCTGGATGCCTGGCTGGTAGCCCACATCGAAGGCGCCCACCTGGGAGGCGCTGTTATGCAACACATTGAAGGGGTTCCAGTCCTGCAACGAAAAGCAACCAGAGTTATCATCCATCTAAGGCCTTGACTGCTCGGATACTCACTGGCTTCTTCAGCTTCTTACAATACTCGGAGATGGTGGCATGGATGGCAGCACCATCGGGACGCTCCAGCACGTCGACGCCAATGATGATGGCTGGCTTTTTGGCGCCCTCCAGCACCTTGGAGAATGCGTGCGAGCCATTGCAAACGTCCTTCACCAAGTTGGGATCGGCTCCCAGATTGTTATGCTGGTAGGACAAATCAATTTTGGGTCCAATCGAGGCAATCTGCAGCTCGTTGTGCACGTAGGCCTTGCGCAGACGCGTGTTGACCAGAGGCGCCTCGTAGCGTGGATTGGTGCCGACCAGAAGCACAGCATCGGCCTGCTCCAGACCTAAAAGCAGAAGTCATATGAAAAGCTGGCCAGACACTGGGTACTCCCATGACGCCCACCTGCAATGGTGCTGTTGAGCAAGTAGCTCGAGCGCACCTCGATGCCGCTGCCTTTGATGAAGTCCTGCTCGGTGACCAGTAGCTCGCCGTCCAGCCGATTGACCAGATCCTTGAGCGCCACCATCGCCTCCACATCGGCCAGCTGGCCGGCGATGCCAGCAACCTGTCCCTTAGCCTTCTGCAAGGCCTTGGCCACAGCGATCAGGGCGCCCTCCCACTCGACGGCCTGCAGCTCGCCGTTGGGCATGCGCACCATGGGAGCCACAAGGCGCTGGCGCTTGAGGCCATCGCAAGCGAAGCGCGACTTGTCCGCCAGCCACTCCTCGTTGACGTCCTCGTTCTCGCGCGGCAGGATGCGCAGCACCTCGTTGGTGCGGGTGCTCACAACGATGTTGCTGCCAACGGCGTCCAGCACATCGATGCTGTCCACCTTGCGGATCTCCCAGGGACGGGCCACGAAGCTGTACGGCTTGTTGGTAAGCGCGCCGACGGGGCACAGATCAATCACGTTGCCCGAGAGCTCGGTGAGGAAGAGCTTCTCCACGTAGGTGCCGATCTGCATGTCATTGCCGCGTCCAGTCGTGCCCAGATCATCGACGCCAGCGATTTCCGAGGCGAAGCGCACGCAGCGTGTGCAATGGATGCAGCGAGTCATCACTGTCTTGACCAGAGGTCCAATGTCTTTGTCCTCCACGGCACTGAAGCGATGAAAGAAGGAATGAGTATTCAGCTTGGTTTTTGTTTTCTTCTTTAAGAGCTTACCGCTTGCCCGTGTAGTTGATGTCCGTAAAACGTGAGCGATCGGAGCCAAAGGCCATGGCCTGGTCCTGCAGATCGCACTCGCCGCCCTGATCACAGATGGGGCAATCGAGCGGATGATTCATTAGCAAGAATTCCATGACGCCCTCGCGCGCTTTGCGGGTCAAGTCGGAGTTGGTTTTGATGCGCCAGCCCTTCATCACGGGCATCGCGCAGGCGGCCACCGGCTTGGGGCTCTTCTCCACCTCAACGAGGCACATGCGACAATTGCCAGCAACGGCCAGGCGTTCGTGGTAGCAGAAGCGTGGAATCTCCACGCCAACCTCAGCAGCAGCCTGAGGATCAGAGGCAGAGAGAGGGAGAATTGGGAATAGCTATTTGTGGCTGCAGTTGCAGCGGCTCACCTGGAGTACTGTGGTGCCTGGCAGCACCATTACGGGTATATCATCGACGAAGACTTCGATTTTCTCGGGCGCCTTGGCCGGTGTCTGAGCCAATACGGCGCTGGTGCGCACGGCTCGGCTAGCGATTTGGTGTGTGGGAGAGCCGAGGGCGCCCAGCGCCTTCACGAGCGGTGCACGTATCATATTTTCTGCAACAAATCAATACACAACACAAACAACATTCAATTTATGGGCAATTACATAAGTTGCAAGCAGGCCGTGCACCGACTTTTAGCTAAATATTACTTTCTGGCTGCCTGCCACTGATTGCCAATTGAAAACGCTCCTGCCAATTCAGCTCACTCCTCTAGTTCGGGCTTAAACAAAACTTACCGATATGCTGGAAAATATTTAGCAGCGCTGCTGAAATTTTTAATGCCGAGCAGACAACTTTTTTTTATCGTTTTTGACAGTCGCACTGTAACAGTGCGGACAGAGTTGCCACCCAATTGTTTGACAGCTGACTTAATGCGCGGCGCATTTGAAAGCAAAAATTTGGTATGCTGCTCACAGATGATGTTGCTCTTGCAATATTGTTCAAGAAAGTACTGATATTAACCATATTAGAAATCAACATCAAAAAGAAGTTATTTCTTCTTTTCAATTCATTGATATTAATTATTTCGAGGATTATAAAAACACCTTAGTTTTTTTTTTTGTTCAAAAGGAATCATATTAAATCATGAAATATTTACATCTTGAAAATGATTGGTGTAAGTTCGCTAGCTAAACGTTTATTATGTAAATTTAATATTACGGAATATAAAATATTTGTTTATGAGTACACTGAATATTGTAAAGTTTTTGTCGTTGTATCACTAAGCCTATATTATATATTTAGTGTTTGCATATTAAATTACGCACTTTATTTAATTGGTGGACCCCTGGTCACGGTATGCACAGCTGTTCGCAGTTTGTTTACTTCTTCAAGTCAAATTGCCATTCACAGGTGGACGTAAAAACATGTTTGATTTTCAATTGTAGATTCAAATTTTAATTTCAAATAAGGAGTGCGCAGCATGCAACTAAGTCAGCAGCGCAGCTAGCATAAAAATGGGCAATAGGCCATGCTACCTGGACACACAATGTGGCACAATGCATTCAGCTGCAAAATGTGAGCGGCGCCTAGCAATGTTGGCGCCACACAACATACTATGTACGCACATACATATATGTATATATATATATATATGTATTTATATTTATATATACATATATATGTATACATAGATGAACGCATGTGGCGTCACATTGATGAGCCGGCGGCGCCACAAGTGAGATTTGTTGATTAAAGATCTGACATGATCGTCACGTGAAAAAAACACACACATACGCATACAAGCACACAGATAGCAAGGATGATGACGATGCTTGGGAGTAAGCCATATGTGCACGTATGTATGTATATGTGTGTGTGTGGTTGTTTTGTTGTGTTTGTGCCAACGCACGATTTGTGGCTAGTCTGGCGTCTACTGCCTGGTAATCAGATAAAAATATATTATGACGTACCAGACCGACTTTTCATTGTTAATTGAGCGGCGTTGGCGGCAAAAAAAAAAATTAAAAACCTTTCTGGCCAAGTCGCGGCCCGGCTCGGCCCGGCTCGGCCCGGCCCTGAATGAATCGAGATTGAGACGTGCTTGATATCTGTTGGCATCGCCATCGAGAGATCTCTCGGCGGCGACGGCGGCGGCGTTGGCGATGCTGCGCGACGCGTCTTGAAGCTGGCGTCTGCTGGCTGTCGCGCCTCTCCGTGAATTGCGCTTATCTTGTATCTTTGTTTACGTATATGTACATGTTGTTGTAGTAGTTGTTGTTGTTGCTGCTGCTATTGCTGCTGTTGCTCCCGCTGCAGACGTGTCGCCACAATTTGCCGCCGCTTGGCGCCTAAAAATCAAACGGGGCGCCACATAACAAATTTTTAAAAATAACGTGCAACGACGTTGATGTCGACGTCGACGCTGACGCTGACGCTGACGTCGAAGCCGACTAATAATGTGATTTGTTCTGCTCGTGGCTATTTTTGCGCGCCACAGCGCATTGTTAATGATCCTCTTCAGCGCACATCCCGTCTGTCTTCTTCTTCTTCCTCTTTTTTTTTTACAATGTGATAATTTTAAACAATTTCTTCCCCTTTTTGCGCCGTCGCCGGCGACAATGCTGTGCTGCACAATTTAACGGTGTCGTCCTTGACTACGCCGCGACGGCGCCGCCTCGTCGTCGCTCCGTGGCAGTTTCTGGAACTGGAGCGAGATAAGGCAACAATTTCTGCGCATCATAAAGAACTAAAAAAAGAAGAAAAGAGATATGCATGATATGATTATAATTACATACAGTTTGGCAAGAAAGTGTTTACACACAGGGAAAAAATTTGAATTTTTTACTTTGAAGCGAAATAAAAGCAGTAAGAATATGCATATTCAATTTTTTTTAAATGAAAGTAGGTATATTAGACTATAAACTATATTAGTAAGTAAAAAAAATTACAATATGTTTCCATTAACAAAAGAAAATAACAAAAAACAAAAGAAGTAACAAAAATCAGCTGACAAGAAAGTGTTTACACAACTAAAACAATTAATTCATTATAATGTTTTAACTACTTTTTAGTTAAAACTAATACTTTTTTTGGCCACCGTTGGCATCTATGACTGCTCCCAAGCGTCTATTCATCGATTGGACCAAGTTTCTGACATATTCCACTGGGATATTTCGCCATACCTCCAAAACAATGGTTTTCAGCTCAGTTTTATTCTTTGGATGCCTCTTGGCGGTCCTCTTCTTCAGATAAGCCCACAAATTCTCAATGAGGCTTAAGTCCGGGCCTTTAGTTTGCGTATCCAACACATTTTTTCAGTTATAAAGTAGCCAGCACCTCACAATATGCGCCTTATGTTTGGGATCATTGTCTTGATAAAACCTTATAGTTGGTTTGCCATTGACAAAGAATCCAAATTTGTTGGCACTGGTTACTAAATGTGTGCGCAAAATGTCAAAATACTGTCCAACATCCATGGTGTTCTCAATAAAACATAGATATCCAACTGCTTTGCTTGAGATGCACCCCCAAAATCAACAGTCGGTATTATATTTTTCTTCTCGAGGGCTTTTAGGGGCTTGCCCCACTCTCTAGTTGGACCATTGTTATAATATACCATCATTTTGGATTCATCGCAAAATATTACATCATCCCGATATGAATCTGGCTGATTTCCGTGCATTTTAGCAAACGTTAGACGCTTTTGAGCGTGATCTGCCGACATCAGTTTTTTTTTCCGGGCTAGTCGGGACGACAGATCATTACTTTTTAGTGCTCTTCTGACACTTTCCCGGGAAATGGTTATTCTACACTCCTCCTTCAGCTCACTGGCAACCATCCTGGTCAAAATAGTTGGTTTCTCGTCCATTTTTCTGAGCATAATTCGCTCTGCCCTGGGTGATAATAGATGAGGGTGTCCTTTAACTTTAACCTTTAACCTTTAACTCAAGCCTATCCTCTTTTTTTGCACGGCTTAGTATATTATATACTGTTTTCCAAAAAATCAAAAACATTTGGCCAATCTCTGTGGCAGTTTTACCCACCAAGAGACATCCAAAGAATAAAACTGGGCTGAAAACCATTGTTTTGGAGGAATGGCGAAATATCCCAGTGGAATATGTCAGAAACTTGGTCCAATCGATGAATAGACGCTTGGGAGCAGTCATAGATGCCAACGGTGGCCAAAAAAAGTATTAGTTATAACTAAAAAGTAGTTAAAACATTATAATGAATTAATTGTTTTAGTTGTGTAAACACTTTCTTGTCAGCTGATTTTTGTTACTTCTTTTGTTTTTTGTTATTTTCTTTTGTTAATGGAAACATATTGTAATTTTTTTTACTTACTAATATAGTTTATAGTCTAATATACCTACTTTCATTTAAAAAAAATTGAATATGCATATTCTTACTGCTTTTATTTCGCTTCAAAGTAAAAAATTCAAATTTTTTCCCTGTGTGTAAACACTTTCTTGCCAAACTGTACATACAATGTATGTATGTATGTATGTATACATCTGTATGTATGTATGTATGTATACATCTGTATGTATGTATGTATGTGTGTGTGTGTGTATGCTGCTTCGTCGATAGCGCCACGCATTGCAACAACAACAAAAGCTTCAAGCAGAGTCGCCTGATGACAATGCTGATAATGGGCCACAGTGGCAGGGTCACTGCCAGCAGCGACGTCGACGACGACAGCAACAGCAACAACTACAGCGACTGCACTTACATTTCCTTTTGGTGGGGTGTTCGCTGGGGGTCACATGCAGCTGGCGCGGCATCTAGACGCCGACGCTAGCGCCGCTGACCATTGAGTGAGAGCTCGCGCCGCGTCGCGTCGCGTCGCTGCCGTCAGCAAAATTCATTGCGGGAGCTGCGCTGCGCTGAAGTCGACGCTATCAACCGAACACTCACTCGCACGTTCGCTCGTTCGTCTGTTTGTTCGTTCGCTCGTGCGCTGGTTTAGCTTGATCGTGCGCCGGCTGTGGTTCGGCTTATTGGGCTACGGCTGTGACTCTGTCTGGGCTCCCCAATCTTTCCTTTGAATAAAACGAGTGGCCGCTTGCAATTTTCACTTAGTTTGAGTCTGAACGGCGACTGCGCCGGCGTGTCCGTGTGTGTGCGCGTGTGTGTGTGTGTGAGAGAGTGTGTATTAGTGTATGCACAAGCACTCGCAGTCGAATCGCTTCGCATCGTATTGAAATTGAAATTGAAATTGACATCGATAAACAAACGACAAAAAAAAAAAAAACCCAAACAAATCGCGCGCCAAACGCATTTTGTTTTGTTGTTTTCTTCTTTGAATTTGTTGTTCATTTCTTTTGATTGTTTTGCGTTTTAATGGGTTTTTTTTTCGTAACTTAATTTGAGCTCGTGCAATTTAGTTCTCACATTGTTTTTGTTTCACGCCTTTTTTTATTGTGAGCAGCGCGTGTGGCGCATGCGTAGCAGCAATAATAATAATAATAATAAAACGCCAATCACAATAACAACAGAAGCAGCAACAACAATCGAATTAATAAAGTGACGAAAACTAATTCAATATTGAAAATCGGTTAGTCATCGCCGGCGCAAACATATTTATCTCACTTCTTATAGTTGTTTTTTTTTTTTTTTCGAAATTTTTTTTTGCTTTTTTTTTTATATTTTTTATTTTTTGTTTGTGTGCTGCGAATCAGACGACCCAAATCGCCGTTGCTCCCCACAGTATTTACCTGACATCATCATCAGCATCAGCATTATCATCATGATTACAAACAGCAAGAACGTCGGCATTTGCGGTTGACATCTTTGCGGGCTTCATTCAGAGGAAAAAATTTAAATAATAAAATAAATAAATAAACGCAAATATATAATAGAAAAAAGAAACAACAATAATCCTCGGGTGAGTATCGCATACAGA